ACTCTTTTTCCCTGGTGCCTTTCCTTTGCTTACATTAATCTTAGACTTTCCTTTCTTTAAGGCATTCTCACATAGATTTGTTTTACTCTTTTTTTCATGTATGCCAGTTTTGCTTTGTGTTCCTTTTCTGCAAATTTCACCACTGTTTGACTTTGCTTCAGGGACATTGCACGAATGCTCTCTGGTGAAGAAAGATTATCTGGCAAGCTGTTAAGTAATGTTTTTCTAAAGGGTTCAAATTTTCTGGTGCCTTAGGATAAACTAAAGCCTCTCTTAGTGCTGGTGAGATCTGAACTGAATTGGTCTGTTCATTAGTTGATTGCATATTATTATCAACATCTCGGGGATCATTCTATGACTGAAAGGCCACATCTGCTAATAAATCCAATCCACTTTTTTTAATCATTCTATCAGATGACACAGCAGTACTAACTGGATTTGCTTTCTGATATAACTTTTTATAAATGTCAAAACAGGGGGACTGGCCTTCAATGTCATAGCCTTCAGACAACCGTGATTGATATCTTTCACGAACAGGAGTAGATAACGTTTCTTCAAATACTTCAAGTGCTCCCTTTGCCTTGACTTTTTCAGTATATTCCTCTACTTCAACTTCTTTGACTGTACCAGACTTTTTCGACTTATCATTGCAGAATGTCAGCCCGGGTTTCAGACATTCACTTGAAATAACTGAGCTATCCACTGGATAAATTCCTGAAGCTTTGAAGGCATTGATAACAGTCAGAGGTTTGTAAAAGTTCAAAAAAGCCTCTGTTAATTTCTGGCAAAATATCTCTTTCCCAATGCATCTTCCAGGGTTTTCACGTGCAAATTTTCTAGCAACCAAGTGCCATTTCGTTTTCAAAAGACCGAATACACCTTTATCCAAGGGTTGCATCAAATGTGTCGCATTGGGGTCAATGCGATACAGCTCAATGTCCTTTTCCTTTGCTTTCACAAACACTTCTTGGCTAATGTGACTTCCAACACTGTCTAATAGTAACACAACAGGTCGCTCAACACCAGCAAACTTATCGAAGTGATCAATGAACTTTGAAAATGTTGTGCCGTCCAATCAGCCTTTCTTCGTATAGGCAATATAACTTCCTTCTGGAGCTTGGCTTGGGCTCAGGAAAAACAAAAAATGGTGGCATCATTTTTTCCTGAAGCATTGCCACAGTACATCACAGTTAGACGTTGCTTTCCAGCACTTATTTGAGGCACAGGAATATCCTTACGGGATGGACCCATAACTTTGCTCTTGTTTGCACCCATGTTAAGCCAGTTTCATCCGCATTCCAAATACAACCTGGTTGTTCCAGACAACCTTTACTGATCAGGAAATCCTTATAATTTGTGTACCATTCATCAAGTGTCTGTTTTGAAAGTTTTGAACGCTTCAGTTCAAGAGGTGTTTCTGAGCGTAAACCAATTGTGTGTGCATTCCGGTTTCTAAATCCTTGATACCAGCTGTAACCAGGTCTCCCATCAAGAAATGGGGTTTTACGCTTCTCTTTTCTAACAATGCCTTGAACAAAGTCTAAAAACTCACACATTCTGAGGCCAAAGTCTCTCTGGGCCATCTCACTTAACCACTCAGCCATAGATGTTTCTTCCTGTTCAGTGAAAACAGTAGCAGGACCTTTCAAAGTGTTGATGTCTTATTCCCCACTGTATCTCCTTTGCAAAAACCCGTATGACAGTCCATACTCACATGCAGCTTTTCTTAGTGACATACTCTTGTTACTTACACTGTATAGGGCTCGTCTCACTCTCTGCACTTTCCCAGGACTCATTCGCTTCCCTCTGTATTTTTTTTACCACTGAGGAGGCTGCATTCTGGGCTGGACTACATTGAACACTTTTTGTGCCCCCACGTTAGTGGCGGGCATTTAGATTTACCCTTGTCCGTCCGTCCGTCCGTTCACTTTTGTGTCGCACGTAACTCAAAAAGTATTTGACCTAGAGTCATGAAACTTTACAGGAATGTTGATCAGCATGTGTAGTTGTGCACCTGGGTATTTTCGTCTGGATATTTTTAGTATTTTCAGAGTTATTGCCCTTGACTTAGTAAAATTTTGCAATTTTCAACTTGTGTCGCATGTAACTCAAAAAGTATTTGACCTAGAGTCATGAAACTTTACAGGAATGTTGATCAGCATGTGTAGTTGTGCACCTGGGTATTTTCGTCTGGATATTTTTAGTATTTTCAGAGTTATTGCCCTTGACTTAGTAAAATTTTGCAATTTTCAACTTGTGTCGCATGTAACTCAAAAAGTATTTGACCTAAAGTCATGTAACTTTACAGGAATGTTGATCAGCATGTGTAGTTGTGCACCTGGGTATTTTCGTCTGGATATTTTTAGTATTTTCAGAGTTATTGCCCTTGACTTAGTAAAATTTTGCAATTTTCAACATGTGTCGCACATAACTCAAAAAGTATTTGACCTAGAGTCATGAAACTTTACAGGAATGTTGATCAGCATGTGTAGTTGTGCACCTGGGTATTTTCGTCTGGATATTTTTAGTATTTTCAGAGTTATTGCCCTTGACTTAGTAAAATTTTGCAATTTTCAACATGTGTCACACGTAACTCAAAAAGTATTTGACCTATAACTTTACAGGAATATTGATCAGCATGTGCAGTTATGCACCAGGTTTTTTCTTCTGGATTTATTTAGTATTTTTAGAGTTATTGCCCTTCACTTAGAAATTTTTTGCAATTTTCAACTTGTGTCGCAAGTTACTCAAAAAGGATTTGACATAGTCATTAAACCTTATTGGTAGGTTGCTCAGCATATTTAGATTTGCACATGGGGTTTTGCTTGTGAATTTATCCAGTATTTGTAGAGTTATTTCCCTTGACTTAGTAAAAAGATTGACAGAACAGTGGCGCGGTGGGGGCACCCGTGTCCTATGGACACATTTCTAGTTCTCTTTCCCTTAGGCATTAGAATCTGAAACAATAAAACAAGTAAACTAATGAGCTTGTCATGTCACGATGTGAGTAATGACAAAGAACAATAACCAAAAGTCCGGGAGGGGGGTGTGATTACAAAAATATTCCTGCTAGAGTGATAAATCTATCACATGTGATGTGTGTGATAATAAGTAACAAACATTTGAAGATAAAAGTAGATACCACAAGAAATGAAGAAGTAATAATAATAATAATGAAATATTTTTTTTATTAAATTTTAAACAAAATTCTAAGTTCAATTGGAAAATAATTCTGTAAAAAAATGAGTGCTAAAGTAATAAATTTTGTCACACATCCTGTGGGTGATGATAAAAAAACATGTATTTGAAGTTTAAAATGGATAACTTAAAAATAAAGAAGTTACTGTACAGTTAAAAATAATATTTTAGAACCTAGTCAAGAACTATTTTAGAATGTTGCAGCAGTTTATACTACATAAAACACCATATTTTAGCATGGACTGCATAATTCACTTGCAATAATAACATAAATAAATTAAATTTTATATTTATTTGTATACAAACCAAAATTTGCTTTAAAAAATATTTTCTAAAACCTGTTGAATAACTTTGAGGCCGTCCCCTCCTGGAAAATTTCATGACCCGCTATTGGGCAACTTGATGCAATTTAATTAACCAGCGCTAGCGCTATCACTATAATACCTCATGCATTTTTTAAACGGCTGCTGCTGCAGATAGTTAATGTATTGGGCATCAAATACCTACCAGCTTTGATCTAATATCTTTTGGGGGTTTTCGGCAATAAAGCAGCGACTGCGAATTTGTCTTGTTACTGGCGCAATATTTCGCGACAAACGGAAACGCTTGGTAAAGCATCTGAATGAATCTGATTAGAATTATCCGGATGTTTACATTTTTTTCGCTGTCGAGTAGGTAACATCCAAATGCACATGACTGTCAGGTTATAACACTTTTAAGTCCAAACATTAAGTTAAATAATTTATTAAATTACTGACTGACCCGTTATTGGCTATGATCCGCTATTGGCTAACTCACTATACTTGGTATTTATTTGGTCAACATAAAGGCATTTTCATATAAAGATATTTGGACACAATATCTTGATCAAACTGGCTCACGCTAAAATTAAATGCAAATTAAAACAATTGTTTATCAACAAATTTATTGTCCACTTTTTATTTATTTTAACAAGAAAATTCGACAATAACAATCAATGTTATTCAATGGCAACGGTAAACAGTACACTAGCAACCGCGGTACGATTACAGATTTACCCTTGGTAAACTTGACCTTGTTTATCTGGAGCGGAACGGAGAAATAACAAAATACTGCAAAGTGCCAGAGTAACACCTCTCCTATCTGCGTAAATAATTAATTGTTAGAGCGTGTAGCAGACAGGAACGATGTCACAGACAGAGTTCAAGAAATGGGAAGAATTCCATATGCTGCAGCTAATTAACGTTACAACCACTTTTATTTGGTTATCATATACATGTATAAAACATTCGCAACGATTTCATAAAATATATATACATATATAAGCAAAATGATAACGAAATCTGGCAAGCCTGGAGGGTGGTCGATGAGGCCGTCCCACAATAATAAGGACTAGCATGGACAAACTGCTCTAAATAGGCTATTAATCTACAAAACTTTCACAATGAATAGGTATATAGATAATTTACCAAGTATATCAAAGTCTGGTTTCAGCAAGGAATTGATCTAAACCAACTGACTACTCGTCACGGAGTAGAGTGAGGAAACGCTGAAACCTCCGTATTTATAGGGGCGTTTCCTCACGAAAACTCACGAATCCTCAGTTCCGTGAGGAATTCAGGAGGAGACGCCAGGAAAATTTTACTCACGGATTTTACCGAATAAAAACTATGCATAATTATTTCATGTACAACAGTTGGGAAAAATTCTACCAACAAAACTTGCCAGATAACAGGACGTAAAACAAATAATAATTTCATTCTAAAAATAAACTGTTAACACGTCAAAGGAGGTGAAGTAAAGGAGTCATATAGCGCATGCGTTAACTACTTCCGCTAAAACTTGCAATGCGCGATGCAGGACAACGGACAGCAAATTTAAAGATTTTACATGTTGATTACACAGAATATAAAGACAAACAAGTGATAAAGGTAATTCTTTTATAATTTACACCGATAGATAATAATGACATTTCGTATTTTTTACTGTTCAAAGGTGCAAACTCTGGTGACCTCAAAAATCGTACAGAGAAATTCTCGATACAAACAATTACAATTAAATTAAGTCGGACAATTATGATTTAGACACACATAAAAATTGCAGGTGTAAACAGTATTTTCCCGGTAATATTTCTATATAAAGTTATGAAAACATGACATTACAGCATTATGAATCAGCGCTGTAATTATTAACAATAAATAAATAAATAAAACAAACATGGTAATGTCAGGCATTACAGTACCTTATTATCATCCCCATCTTATGTGACAAGGTTCATAACTCTAGCACCAATATTTTCAGATTTTTTCCTCTTTAACATAGAATTTTCCTCAAAAAATACTTTTTTTTACTGTTACTTCTTCATTTCTTTAGGGATCAACCCCATACTTCAAATATATGTACCTTATCATCATCCACATCTTATGTGACAAGGTTCATAACTCTAGCACCAATATTGCAAGAATGATCTCCCTACATGCTTTATAAACTTAGATTTTTTTACTAGAAAAAATGTTTTTTGCTATAACGTTTTTAGTTTTAAAGGTATATACCTCAAACTTCAAATTATTATTCCTTATCATCAATTACATTTTATGGTACAATGTTCATAACTCTTGAAGCAATATTTACAGATTTATCTCTCTTTGAACTTAAGATTTTATAACTTCTTTACTTTTTAAGGTATCTACTTCAAACTTCAAATATGTTTCTTATCATTACACACATGTTGTGTGACAAGGTTCATAACTCTAGCGTGACTATTTCTACAATTATTCCCCTTGATCTTGGAAATTATGTTAACAAATGTTATTTTTTTACTATAACGGAATACATAATTATACATAATTGATTTTTCTTTCAAAGTTTTGTCCTTCTTACTGCGTCCAGTATTTTATTAGTCGAGCTTCGCTGTCTCCTGTGACAGCTCTTTTTATGCTCCTCACCGAAGGGTAAGGATATTGTCGCCGCTTTGTCCGTCTGTCCGTCCGCTATTCTTGTCCGGGACTTATCTTTAAAACAACAAGAGGAATCCTCACGAAACTTTGTAGGTAGATAGCAGAAGTGTAGTGCAAAAAAAACTTAACTTTGTCTTGTCTTATTTTGGAGTTATTGCCCTTTGTTCATTTTAACACTTTTTACTGGACATAACTCTAAAACTATGAGAGATATCAACATGAAACCTGAAAGCAGGTAGATAGATCTCATTGGGAAGAAGTGCAGTGCAAAAGAACCTTAACTTTGCCTTGCCTAATTTTGGAGTTATTGCCCTTTGTTCATTCTTACACTTTGAACTTTGTGACATAACTCTGACGCTACAATAAGTATACTTTCCAGTGTCCAAAACCTACTCGGGGAGCATCACCCAGGACAACCGGTTTTTGTTATATCAAGTTATGTAGGAAAAATCTTCTTTTCAAAATCCACAAGGCTTAGAGCCTTGATACTTGGTATGTAACATGATCTAGTGGTCCTCTACAAAGATTGTTCAAATTATGCCCCTAGGATGAAAAGAGGCAGTATGAAATGGCCCCTGCCGGGGTGGGCCTAAATATCGAGGGCTCTCTTGTCTATATAAATAGTGGTAAATGTCCGACTGTCTGATTATTTGTCTGAAAATAACCTAACTTTGGTCATAAACATCTGCCTTCTTTAAACCAGTCGACATTCTTATTTATATTCACGGGAATGGTCTAGTGTATATGTTGTGCTTTTTTGAAGCTAGAAATTATTTAAGAATTATTAAGTGTAAAAAATTAAATCTTAATATAATATTCTTCTTAGAAACTACAAGGTTATAGATCTATTTTACATGTAGCATTGTCAAGTATTTCTCAAAAGTTTCTGGCATCATTGTGCATAGCAATTAAAAATGTATAGTTAAAGCGAGTGATAAACGTATTCTTAGGTCTTTTGTTACGTTACTGTAATTACTATGGTATTTAAGCATGTTGTTTTCATTGTTGGTTATTTGTAATGGAAACAACTTAATATCTTGACTGTTTTGTAGGTCACTTATTAATTTAAATTCAAGTAAAGTGATAGTAAAAGGATTACATCTGTATCTTGTCATGACAGTATGGTTATGTAGGTCAAAATGTCATAATTTCTATTATTTATGGTATGTCCATTTTAAATGATCAAAGCTTTCGTGATTTTATTCCACAAATCTTGTTCATGTATGTATTACTTTGGGTTGTTTTTGTTTTTTTTTGTGTGGGTTTTGTTTTTCATATCGGTCAAATATTCAAGTGCCTTTATTTCTTAAAATTAAATACTGTGTTATTTAGTATTTAATTATTGTTTAAATTAATTTAACTTATATATTAACATAAATTGTTACTGTTTTCATGCTATTTAATAATCAAAATAGGGATTTTATATGTTGCCATGTAATCTGCAATTTTCACTTTTTTATTTCTAGAATTTTATGGTGATAGCTTCTGGAGAAGTGACTGCCTTCTTCGGACAGTCAATGTTTTTCGTACAAATTTGACTATGATTTAAAGTATCTGAAATTGATTAAATCAACATGACTTCAGATTCATGCTAACAATATCAAAGCACTTTACTATGAAATAAAGTAAGTATATTTAACAAATTATTTATATGTTTAGTCTTATCAGAATTAAAAGATACATGCTTGTCAATGACTTTTTCCGACAATTAAGTTGATGGTTGACAAGATCATTTTTAAACCTACTGAGTTGTAGCTGTTTTATTAACACATTTTTAATATAATTGTTTAAAAGAAACCTGTTTTGTGATTTTTTTTAGTCATCTTTGTAAAAGTTAGAAAAGCGGCAAATATTTTATATAATACAATTAAGTTTTTAAACAATTGTTTAAAAGAAACCTGTTTTGTGATTTTTTTTAGTCATCTTTGTAAAAGTTAGAAAAGCGGCAAATATATTGTATAATACAATTACGTTTTTAAACTCTGAAGTTCACTCTATAATGTGACGATATACTTTAAAGAGTGACCTACCATACAAGTTCTTATATCGTACATCTGAACACTGTTACCATTAATGGTAAAAACAATGACATAAATCATTAGGCTAAGATGATTTTCACCTTGTAGGTGATTTTCTTGTTGCTCTGTCTTCCTTTAAGACATTGAGTACTTTTGTTATGGTCATTGGGTTTACTTTTATATGTTTCTACATGATCATTTTGGTGTTTTGCTTATTTAACCTTTTGTAACCATAACAACTGTTAGAATTTCACTTGGCGGGGATTCATTTTATTTACACTGTCTCGTTTATAGGAACATGGTGGGGCTAAGAGCGAGGTTTGGTGCACCATTAACCGGTTTAAACTCCCCAGTAGTCGTTATTATGCTGCTGACCGTTCCAAGGCGGCGCCCCTCTGTGTTCCTCAGATGTATGTCTATGTTGTTTTATACTGTTTTAGTGACACTTTTGCTCGTGTCTCTTGTTGTTTCTCGTCTACGGTAAGTATCTTCCCTTTGTCCCTAGTTTTTATTTATTTTATTCCCCCCCCCCTTCCCCGTGTCTCATGTCCCCTTCCCTTGTGCCTTTTGACATTATGGGCCTTATATTAAATCATTTATTTGTTTTCTTTTAGTTCCTTATCAGTTACTAATTATGTATTCTGAAGAAGTGGTTTGCCTGCCCGTGCTCTGCCTTGTGCCCTGTCCTGTTTTTCTTTGGGGTCCTCCTGGGCTCCTTGCCGCTGGGTCGGGTGGGGGCTGCGTTCATTGAATGCCGCCTTTCCTTGTCGATCTTGTTTATCATATTTTTTACCCAGTGAATGAGATCTTACATAAACCAAAAAGTCGGGAATTCACTCAGTGAATAAGATTCAACATAAACCAATAAGTTGGGAATTCACTCAGTGAATAAAGTTTAAAATAAACCAATAAGTTGGGAATTCACTCAGTGAATAAGTTTTAACATAAACCAATAAGTTGGGAATTCATTCAGTGAATAAAGTTTAAAATAAACCAATGAGTTGGGCATTCACTAAGTGAATAAGGTTTAACATAAACCAATAAGTTAGGAATTCACTCAGTGAATAAGGTTTAACATAAACCAATAAGTTGGGAATTCACTCAGTGAATAAGGTTTAACATAAACAAAACATTTAAGCATTCACTCAACATACACCAATAAATAGGGCATTCATTCAGTGGATAAGGTACCTCTAACATAAACCAGCAAGATGAGCATTCGAAACATTTGCCGATTCTAATGGTGTATATTTTTTCTCTATAGCTTCTGAACTTTTCGTGAGATGCTTGCATAGATTGTGACACATATCTATGTTAAAATTTTGCCGAACAGAACAATTTCTGCAATCATATCGGGAAAAAAAGAGCTACAATGGAAAGTTATATATCATTGGAAAAGGCAACTATATACCTGAAACATGGTTCATATTTAATATCTAAAAATAAAAGATAAAACGAAAAATAGCAAACACCGTTAGCGATGAAGAAATGTTACCGTAAACAAATATAATGTGATCATCCACTCGTTAAAATGTACGTAACCGAAGCATAACGAAACGACCTTGGCTTTTATGTGTTTAATTGCCTTAAGTTTCTGTTTCGAAATCAATGTTGATTTAGGATTTTAATCCATTCTGGAACATAAAGATTTCAAAAATTGAACAATTTACAGGTACACTTGCTTATTGTTTTACATGATAGTATATTGGCAGATTACATGTTATTTCTGTTTGTAGATAAATAGCAATAGATTACATGGTATTTAAACACATTCAGGTTTTAACGTAAACACCTATTACTTCGATAGAGGCCTTAACATATAAAATAATTTAAATACGATAACTCGGTTGACTATTAGATGGATTATAATTTTAAAAAAATGAAATACCATTAAAATGTCAACTTTACATTTATTAGCTCACCAGATCCGAAGTTTCAGGGTGAGTTATTAGTATCAAAGGGGGATCCTCCGGCGTCAACAATCGTCTTCTTCTCTGAAACTGCTGGGCAGATTTACCTCAAATTTGGTCTCTAGCATCCTTGTGACAGTCGCACTTAAATTTGCTTATGCCATTACAATTGGCCCTTTTTAGGGGTTAACAGAGCTAAAAATAGAAAAACCTTTAAACAGCTTCTACTACTAAATTAAATGATGGACGATCACCAAAATTTGTCTGTACATAGCATTCTTATGTAATCTTGTATCAAATTTGCTCATTTTAACTTGATTGGACCCTTTAAGGGGTCTCTAAAGCTAAAATTCGAAAAACCTTTACAGAACCAATGGATGGATAATCATCAAATTTTGTCTGAAGCATCCTTAGGGATTCTTTTATAAAGTTTGCTCATATTAGTTTGATTGGTCCCTTTTAGGGTCCGCTAAAGATAAAAATAGAAATACCTTTAAACGTCTCCTTCTACAGAACTAATCGATCGATGATCACCAAATTCTGTCTGTAGCATTCTTAGGTAATGTTTTATCATAGTTACCCATATTCATTTGGTTGGCCCCTTTTAGAGGCTGCTAAAGCTAAAAATATAAAAAAAAAAACTTTGAAAATCATCTGCTACTGATAAAATTGATGAATGGTCACCAAATTTTGTCTGTAGCATTCTAAATGTAGTGTATTATCAAGTTTGCTCATATTTATTTGATTGGCCCCTTTTAGGGGCTGCTAAGGCTAAAAATAGAATAATCTTGAACATCATCTCCTAATGAAATAATTGGTGGATGATCATCAAACTTTGTCTGTAGCTTTCTTAGGTAGTGTTTTATCAAGTTTGCTCATATTAATTTGATTGGCCCCTTTTTGGGGCCAATAAAGCTAAAAATATAAAAACCTTTGAACATCATCTCCTACTGATATAGTTGATGGATGATCACCAAATTTTGTCTGTAGTATGCTGAGGTAGTCTTTTATCAAGTTTGCTTATATTAATTGATTGGCTCCTTTTAAGGGTCACTAGAGCTAAAAATAGAAAATACCTTTAAACGTCTGCTTCTACAGAACTAATTGATAGATGCTCATCAAACTTTGTCTGCAGCATTCTTAGGTAGTTTTTTTTATCTTTTACTGAAAACAGCTGTTTCTGGTCGGCGACTCAAGGCCACAATGACCCTCTTGTTTTATTCTTTGTTATAGTCTTATCAATGTGATAGTTTATACAACATATCATAAATATAAATCATTATTAAACTAGAAATGTGTCCATAGGACACGGGTGCCCCCACCGCGCCACTGTTCTGTCAATCTTATGACTCTAGGTCAAATATTTTTGAAAACTAAAAATCTTTTACTAAGTAAAGGGCAAGAACTTTACAAATACTGAATAAATCCACAAGCAAACCCCAAGGTGCATAAGTACACATGCTGACCAACATTCTTGTAAACTTTCAGGCCTACAAGTGAAATACTTTTTGAGCTATGCATGAACAAGTTGAAAATTGCAAATTTATACTACTGTAAGTCAAGGGCGATAACTCTAACAAAACTGAAAAAATCCACATGCAAAGTCCCAGGTGCATAGCTTCACAGTGATGTGAATCATTATACCTGTAATTTAGTGATGTTGATCATTATTCCTGTAAAGTTGGTTGATTCTAACTCAAGCACTCAAGGAACAAATAACAACATAATGAAACGGTTTTTTCTAAGTCAAGGGAAATAACTCTACAAATACTGGATTAATCCACAAGCGAAACCCTAGGTGCAAAACTAAATATGCTGAGCAACCTTCCCGTACGGTTTAATGACTCTATGTCAAATCCTGTTTGAGTTAAATGCAATGCAAGTTGAAAATTGCAATCATTTTCTAAGTCAAGGGCGATAACTTTAAAAATACTAAATAAATCCAGACGAAAATATCCATGTGCACAACTACACATGCTGATCAACATTCCTGTAAAGTTTTTTGACTCTAGGTCAAATACTTTTTGAGTTACATGCGACACAAGTTGAAAATTGCAAAATTTTACTAAGTCAAGAGCAATAACTCTTAAAATACTAAAAATATCCAGGCGAAAATACCCAGGTGCACAACTACACATGCTGATCAACATTCCTGTAAAGTTTCATGACTCTAGGTCAAATCCTTTTTGAGCTACATGCGACACAAGTTGAAAATTGCAAAATTTTACTAAGTCAAGGGCAATATCTCTAAAAATACTAAAAATATCCAGGCAAAAATACCCAGGTGCACAAATTCACAGGCTGATCAACATTCCTGTAAAGTTTCATGATTCTAGGTCAAATACTTTTTGAGTTACATGCGGCAAAAGTTTAAAATTGCAAAATTTTACTAAATCAAGGGCAATAACTCTAAAAGTACTAAAAATATCCAGACGAAAATATCCAGGTGCAAAACTTAACATGCTGATCAACATTCCTGTAAATTTTCATGACTCTAGGTCAAATACTTTTTGAGTAACGTGCGACACAAAAGAGAACGGACAGACGGAAGGACGGACGTACGGACAAGGGTAAATCTAAAGGCCCGCCACTAAAGTGGGGGCACAAAAAGGCACATTGTCACTCTTTACAGAGTTATAAGATACTTTGTTTATGTTAATATCATAATACAAGTATAATCATTTTTGCACAATGGAG